GGAGAAAGAAACATCGATTGTTTCCCACAGGTGTCCTGACTGGAGATCAAACCTGAAACCTGGGTATGTGCCCTGATCGGGAATCAAACCCACCACACTTGGTGCATGGGACGATGCTCCAACCAAGTCACACCAACCAGGGCATATACAGTGGAATATTACTCTTCCATTAAGAAGAATAAGTTCTTACCATTTGCAACAACAGAGATGGACCTAGAGGGTATTATGCTAAGTGAAATAAGACAAATACCATATGATCTCATATGTGGAATCTAAAAAGCAAAACAAACAAAATGGAAACACACTCACAGATACAGAGAATAAACAGATGGTTGCCAGATGGAAGGGGGAGTGGGGGGTTGGGTAAAAGAGATGAAGGAATTAGGGAAGTACAAATTGGCAGGCACAAAATAGTCACAGGCAGGGATGTAAAGTATAGCACAAGGAACATAGTCAATAATATTGTGACAACTATGTATGGTGCTAGGTGGGTACTAGACTTACTAGGGGATCACTTTGTAAGTTATACAAATGTCTAACCACTCTGAAGTACACCTGAAACTAATATAATATTGAGTATCAACTGTAATTGAAAAAGAAAGAAAATATTCCTTCTGGCTCATCTCAGTAAAAGAAAAATTAGCGATTGATTGTTAATCAAGCAAAGAACATACGGGTGGTGAAGTGCTCCTAAAATCTGTGCAGATTTCAGTTTATTTAGAGTTGTGGAAAAGGTTCATAAGGTTAGTTTTATGGATAGGGTCAATTTAATTTCTTCTCTTAACCTCTGTAATTATATTCCACAAAGAAAAGATACTGATAGACTATGAATACAAACTATAGGACCATATTTGTTCCTCAAATGAAGGCACTGAACACATTGTGTGTCCTAATACAGGAAAAACTCAGACAACAGAAAATACTCCACTTCAAGGAAGTCTTAAATTAGAAATAAATCTCGTACCATGACAAAGTTAGCACATAAAAGGTGTTAGTGTCACCCCATAAAATAGCTTAAAAGGCCCTACATTACGTGTGGTATATAGAATTATAAAATTTTTAACCTACTAGCAGGAATATCACAGGTTACGTTTTCCAATCCCTTTAACTAACAGAAATAACAATCAAAAGCCAGGTCCAAAACTCAGACTCTGCCGCAAGGAAATCTTAAACTTACTTTATGAAACCACTGGTTTCCTGGTCACTGTCTTGTGCTGTATCCAAAGAAAAGGCACCTGAGAGTTCAGCTGAGTTGGACTCCCGATCTTCTGCCGGAAGCGCCTGGGTTCCTGGGCAGTCCGTGGAAATCTCCCTCTCCTCCCTGACCCCTTCCTCACGATGGCCCCTGGGGCCCTGTAAGTCTTTCTCAGTTTTGTCACGGTCATCTTTGAGAGAAGACTGCTTGGCCTCAGCAAGAGATGATTTCCCGGAGATATTGAATAAGTTACCAAGAAACTGAAAAAAGCTCTCTTTTGGCTGTCGATCGTTTTCTCCTGTTCTGCCATCTGAAGTGGGGCTGGAAAGGTCATTTGACTTTTTGGAATCTTCTGGCGCTGGAAGAGCGATTAGCTTCTCTGCATGGCTCCTTTTGTGCTCACTTTGGGGAGTCTTTGAAAACAAACAGAGAATAACAAGCATCGTCACTAAAAAATAACACAGATTGACTGACAACCTATTGCATGATATACTCTGAGCTAGGCCCTGGGGCATGTTTATGAATAAGACTGATGACTTCTGTTTCCTTGGGAAGTTCACAATCTACTGAAGGGCAGTGAGCACAACTTTCACAAAGCTACACAGTCAATGCCATGAAGAGAGAGGTACAGCACACCTGGGAAAGCCAGTCCAGATCTGGTGGCGGTGAGAGCAGAGGAGGTAGCCTAGGGGGTGCTCCCTGGAGGAAGGGACCCCGGAAGGAGACCTACAAAGTGACTTTGTGATGCGTGTGCGTCTTCTTCCCTCTCCCCTCCTTTGTGTTTAGTGAGGTATCAGCTTCCAAGGAGTTTGACATGACTGGCGGTCACGGTATAAAGTGAGAAGAGTGAGAGGTTCAGCATGGGGAGATAAGGAAGGGAGCAGATCCAGGTAAACCTTATGTGAATTTAAATTTAGCCTTTCTTATTACGAAGCGAGTGGACAGTATTTTCAAACACTCGGTACAGCAGACAAGTAACACCTAAATAGACTTTATCATTTCAGTGTTGCGTTAACCCGTGAAGCTGCCACGCTGTGTAAGACTGGTCCTTAGATGAGGAAAGATGGCAACATGGGGCATCGAGGCAGAGGAAAGCTCTTCAGGCTGAAACACAAAGTTCTGCCGTGCACATTAATGCAAACCATGGGCAGCACGGGGGATTCCTGCAGATGTCAAATACTTCCCGAGTGCATTTTACCTGCCCGTAACTAGGAACTAGTAAAGCACACGCATTCACGTGTGCTCCGTGTGAGGACAGGTTAAACTGCCGCATCAAAGAGCACGCTGGCGCGGCCCCCTGCTCCCCACAGCTTCATTCGCTTTAGGCCAGCGCGCCAGCTCACCCAGCCTTCCAAACATGCCCGCTCACCCACTTGTAAAAGGAATGCGCGCCTGATGTCTCCGTCAGGTGTCATGCCCACTAGTGCTTATAAAAGGAAAGCTCAAGTGTGACTCAGAAGGAGATCAGGACACCAAGGTAAAAACCACCTTAGGGCACTGCAGGGCTCCACGTGACAAAGTTCTGTAAGAAGCTGATCCTTCAGAAGGCAACAGCATTGTAATTATGTCATTTGTTCACCTTGTTCCATGTTTTAACCCAAATTCAAAACAGTTCAAAGGAGTTTTCCACTAATCACTAATAAAATTTATACGAAAGGCTGAGAAAATGAGAACCCATTAGCCCAGGAAATTAATTTTGAGCAAACTATATTTTAAGTTTGTTCCCACCCTGGGTGTCAGGGTATTTTTGAATAAACAAAAAGCATTTTTCTGTATGTTAGGGCCTTAATATCACTTGTGAGTCTCTACATTTAGAATATCACCAGCCTTCTAGAGTCACTAAAAGTCTTACCTTTTACTGGTTTTGACTGTAACTTGATCCCGCTCCTCTCCATCTCAGCCAGCCAACCTGGTGTCACGATGGGAGCCCACACTATAAATCAGCTGCGCCCTCTCCTCACACAAACTGCACAAATGGACTCTCAGGGTGGCAGCACAAGATACGCTAGGTGACATTGTGAAAATGCTCCTGTGTATGAAAGGTATGCATTTTTTTTGTCCTTTACTCCCTTTACTTGTTATAATTTCCAGTCATAATATTTCTTCCTGTGTCAAATGAACTAATGCTACAACACGAATAGAATCGTGATTTTTTTTTTTCTATAACTAGTATGACTGACTGCTCATCCTGGGTAGCTACTCATCACAACATTGTAAGTACAGGGTAGGGCAAAGGTAGGCTGACACTTGGTCATATAAAAAAATAATACATTAATAAATAACAATACAGGAATAAACTGTGTTTCACGTACTCACAATTGCAAACCTACCTTTGCCGAACTTTGTATTCTTAAAAAGCTTTAGAGACTGACGAAGAGTCACATAAAATTGGGGCAATGGTTTTAAAAGGGAAGAATTATGAGAACAAGGAGATTACATTTTTTGACTATCAAAATCTCAAGATAAATAACTTCTGTTCAAAAATAGTATTTCACTGCCTAAATTACTATTTTTACTTGACAATTCCTTTCCAAGTATAATAGACTACTTTCTAAACTAGTTTTGCTAAACTAATAAAAGCCTTCACATTTAACTTTTTCAGTCATATATATATCTCCCTCCCTCCCTCTCTCTCCCTCTCTCTCTCTCACTGGTTTCTCTTTCCCCTCAACTTTTAGCTTGCTTTTCCAGAATTCCTGTATCTTAAGTTTACTGAAGGGCATTTTTTTTCCAATTTCCTTAAATGTCTTAGTTGCTTAGTTTTCCCCCCTAATCATCTTATGAGAAAATTTTATCAATAATTAAAATCCCCTCAACCAGAAAAAAGTATCTAAATTTAGGGAAAAAAAGGAACTAGCAGCAAAAACGCAGCTATTCCAAGTAAACACAATAAATTATTTATGTAATTAAAATTTTGAGTTTAATCTGAAACAGCTGCTCTTTGCCCTCAGCTTAGACAACAATGAAGTTCAGCCTGCCACAAGCCAGGGCCGTGCCGCCTGCCAACAGGGCTGTCTGCCATTGTTCCAACAAGTGAGTGGAATGAAAGCACTAGGGATTCAAGCAAACACTGACAAAACATCGATCCCAGTTGTTCTCAAAGATGTTGGCATCCTGCAAATAAAATATAAAAGCTACTGATGAAGGCATATGTACCTTAGGAACTTAAAATTTCCCCCCTAATTTGATATGCTGTTAGGGTAGTACCATTTGGTCCAAATTCATCTGTTTTCTTTGCTTATGTCCAATACAGGGAAATACAGGGAAATGTTAGGTACACTGATTAATAAGACAGCTGCAGCTTCACAAGTTTACGGTCTAGTAAGACACTCATCACTGCATCACTGTGTGGGGCTCCCGAGAGGCATGTGCACAATGGGAGACACAAGTAACGGGACTGGGGAGAACCACTGCACAGAGGTGGTAACATCTGAGCCTGCTCCTGAGGGGTGAGAAGAGCATTCTAGACACAAAGTTTAGCATGTACAAAGGTAGAGGAGAATGAGGTGTATTTATTATGGCCCGGCGTGGCTGCAGAAGATTGGGGCACAGAGGACAGACTGAGGTTGATAAGATGACTGATGAGAAGTGGAGGGTGAGGGAAAATAGTCACAGATAACTAAGTTTTATAAACTGGGCCACTATTTGAGTAGTTAATCAAAAAATGGATATTAGAAATACAACGGGAGGTGAGATTAGGGCCTTTGAGTGTGTATATGTGGGGGTTGTTTACAAATTATTTAGATGTCAAATGTTGATTTTTTTTTTTTGGTCCCCTGGTGATGTACAAGCCAGGATATCTAGTAAGCAGTCAGGACACAGTTTAAGAATACAACTGGTGATACACAATGTGTGCAAGGGTAAAAGGGGGGCCAACCAAAGAGCTTTAGGGAAAAAAGATTAAAAGGCAGGCACAAAGAAGAGAAGAAATCCGTGAAGGAGCAGGAGAAGGCCCAAACTGGACCAGCTCACCCTCCAGAATACTAGTCTCCAAAGGCATAAGGTCAACGATTACTTCCAAAAGCAAAGGGGGGTACATGCCAAATGGCACCGTGAGGTCAAGAAAGGTGAAGACTGTCCTGGTCACTGGTCTTCAAAAACATCAGGCACATTCCTGTGGGGGACTGGGCATTCCCTTGCCTCTCTGCTTAGAATGCCCTCCCCCAGAGAGCTGTAGGACTCGCTCCTCCTCACCTCCTCACATCTTTACTTACCTCCTCAGTGGGAGTTTCTCCAGCCACCCTATTTAAAAGGGTAAACCCCTCCACTCTGAAACTGCCTATATCCCTTCTCTGCTTTTTTTCCCCTATTTGTTCTTGCCAGTATCAAACACACACACTCTCTCTCTCACATTATTTAATACCTGTTTCTTCCTCTAGAATGTAAAAGCCACAAGGGTAAAGAATTCTGTCTGCTTCATTCATTGCAGTATCTCTGGCACCTTGAAATGCACCTGACAATAAGAGCCCAAAACGCTCCAAATATTTGTTGGATTAATAAATGAAGGTTTGAAGAGTATAGAGACGCCCCCGGAATGCAGGAGAAACAGTCCTAAGAGCTCAGGAATTTGTGAGCACAGCCCCAAACTCAAGGCGTTCAGCCGTGAGTAAGTAGTAAGGAAACAGAGACAGTCTGCAAATGGAAGGGAACACATTTGAGAGATGTTTTAACTAGAAAAAAAAATGAAAGACGTAAGATGACAGTTTAAGGTCCAAGACAGAAAAAAATGGCTTTTTGTTCCTATTTTGTGGACCAGCGCTACACCTGTTGGAGGGAGTGACTGCTGTGTCAGAGAGAAGGGTGACACGTTCCAGAAAGAAAAGCAGAGATGATGAGATGAAGAGACCAGTGCAATCTCTTAACATCTTTTTTTTTGAATTATGCATATTTTAATTAAATTTATTGAGGTGACATTGGTTAATAAAATTACAGATTTCAAGCATACAGTTCTGTGACACATCATCTGTATATTGCACTGTGTAGCTACTCCTTCTAATAAAGGGAAAGTATTAGCCTGGCAGTTGAAATTTCCTTAATTTTGAGGAAAGTATTTATTACCCATTTATTATTACTAATATTTTGAGTTAGCTATAGTTTAAGTGGTGTTAAACTTTAAAATATAAATCACTATTTACCTTTATCATAATGAATTTGGTTTGTGGTGGGCTAGCTGGTTAACTCCATACAGACTACTGACACATTTGCCTCAACAATATTTTTCAGTAAATGGATTTTACCACTAATGTTAAGGCACAGAGATGAGCTATTTATCCCCTTAGCATTAAAGTAATTTTGCTTGAAAAATAACATTGTATTTTTATCACAGAATTATTTTTCCACTAATTAATTAGAACGGGCAAGCAGGTTGGCCATCAACTATTTTGCCCCAAGCTGGTCATTGTTTAACATAAGG